GCCGAGTTTTTCGGATTCCGTTATGGACAGGACGCTCGAGGTATCGGGGCCGGCAATCATGAAATGGGATCCGGAAGGGTCTAACTTCGCGAAGGTCACTTCGTTGATCTACGAGAACCGCAGAGAAGCCAAGGAGTTCATCAAGTGTGTGTATAATCTGCAGAAAGCGATGCAGTTTCTGAAGACGGAGCATTCGAGCTCCGACAAGCTCGTGCGCGGACAAAACCTGATGCAGATTGCAATGAAGAGGCTCCAGAAGGAGTTCTATCAGGTTCTCTCCATGAACCGAGCTCATTTGGATCCTGAATCCGTCTCCACCCGGTCGTCCGTCTCCCGTGCCTCGACTCAGTCCAGCCAGTCTGATTACGACGTTGACGACGATGAGGAGGATGAAATCAGGGCCGCCGGCGATTCCATAGCCGAAGTTGAAGATGCGTCGAGCATTGCGATGGCGGATTTGAGATTGATTGCCGAGTGTATGATTTCATCTGGATACGCCAAGGAGTGCTTGAAAATCTACAAAGTAATTCGGAAATCAATCATAGACGAAGGACTACACAAGCTCGGAGTTGAGAAATTGAGCTCTTCGCAGGTCAGGAAGATGGATCCGGAAGTTCTAGACCTGAAGATTAAGAGCTGGCTCGGTGCTATAGATGTTTCCATGAAGACATTGTTCAATGGAGAGAGAATTCTGTGCGATCACGTCTTTGCTTCCTCCTCCGATTCGATCCGAGAATTAATTTTCACTGAAATTTCAAACGACGGCGCGACGATTCTGTTCGGATTCTCAGAAAATGTGGCCAAAAACAGCAGGAAGTGGCCGGAAAAGACTTTCCGTCTACTTGACATGTATACCGCCATAGCCAATCGATGGACGGAGATCGAGTCCATCTTCTCATCGGATTCCGCGTCAACAGTCAGAGATCTGGCGGTGGCGTCACTCGTAAAACTCGGCGAGTCAATCAGGAGCGAGTTGGGCGAGTTCGAAACCGCTCTACAGAAGGACTCCTCGAAGACGGTGGTCGCCGGCGGAGGAATTCACTCGCTCACCATAGAATCAATGAATTATCTCACATTGATCGCAGATTACAGCAATGTACTAGGGGACATCCTCGCCGACTCTCCTCCACCGGAGACGAGTTCGCTGCCGGAATCATACTTCGGTGTCTCCGACACCGAATTTTCTCCGGCTCCGGCGATCTCTCTCCGCTTCGCCTGGCTGATCCTCGTCCTCCTCTGCAAACTAGACCGCCGAGCGCAGCACTACAAGGACGTTTCAATGGCGTATCTCTTCCTCGCCAACAACCTCCAATTCATCGCCGGCAAAGTCAGAGCTTCCAACCTCAAATTCTTACTGGGAGACAACTGGTCATCCAAGCAAGAAGCCAAAGTCAAGCAGTTCGCGGAGAACTACGAACGGCTAGCATGGGGCCACGTCATATCGACCATCCCGCAGAATCCAACGGCTCCGATGCCGCCGCACCAGATCAAGGAGCATTTCAAGCGGTTCAATTCGTCGTTCGAGCAGGCGCACCGTAAACATTCCTTGTGCGTTGTACACGATACTAAGCTCCGCAACGACTTGAAACTGTCAATCGCGACGAAGCTGCTTCCGGTGTACCGGGAATTCTACAATGCACACCGCCTTACGGCGACGAGAGAGAGATCTTTGTCCGTGGTTGTCAGATTTGCCCCCGAAGATGTGAGGAATTGCCTTTCGGATTTATTCTTCTGGACGAATGAGTCTACAGAGACTTATTCATTTCTCGCAGATTCATCTTCTTCGCATGCAACGTCTTCGACCTCTCATTAAAAAAAAAAAAAAACCTGGCCTCCATATATTATTTAATTTGGATAATATTTTCATCCTCATATAGGGGATTAGGGGTCAATATTGTATAATATCGTTATGGAATAGCATTAATAACATATCAGCATATCACATAAAATATAATTATATAGCCTAATTATAATTAATTGAGATTGTGATGGAGACGAAACTCTTTTAATTATTTTTATACAATTATTGAAACAGTTTTTGGTTAAATAACCAAACATTTTCACATGATTTTCAAGAATATCTTAATAAATGGAATTATCACTATCGATTCTTGTATTGTCCATTATATAGCATTATAGCTTATATACTTTATTGAAAGTCAGAAAGCATAAAAAGCACATCTTTTCGACTTTATACAGACCAGATCACTACCTATATGCTCTGTTACAAAAATCTAGCATCCTATATAAATGGTAAAATCTCACTTTCACATTTAATATTATAACCAAATAATTTTCTTTCCTTTTTTACCTATTCCACAAAAGTAAAATCTCTCACCCAAAGATACACTCTTGCCTAATAAAATTGTAAAAAGATAAATCATAGTGATCGACTTAGCTATCCATCAGCAGCCCATCATTAAGTGGAAGGATATGTGTTTGATGCTCACAAAAAGTCATCTCATAAGAGAGTGAAACTCTCACACTATAAACCTCAGACTCAATTATGTAAAATTTCGTACACTATTATCTGTCACATAAAAACTAATTGAGCTACATATTTGTAAAGAGTATTTCAATTTTTACCTAGCTCTCAAGTGTGAATATATACAAGCTACGTTTAAACATCATATATATAGTCGTCTATACAAGCATACATCATTCCTTGGCCTTGTTTGGCAATTAGCGGTTAGCGGTTAGCGTTTGCGGATTGTATTAGCGGTTAACAAATAGCGGATTATATTAGCGAGTTTGACCAGCAGATTGTATCAGCGATTTGTAAAAAGATGTTTGGTAAAATTAGCTGTTTAGATTAGCGGTTAACATGTAAAATGACCAAAAGGGTATAATAATAATAATAATAATAATAATAATAATATAATAAGAATAAGAAAAAACAAAAAAAAAAACAAAAATGATGTGGGATAAAAATCCCACATCGAAAGTTAGAAAATAACTGGCGTTGAGCTCCCTTATAAAGGGAGCTCAACGCCAATTAATTTCTCTTGCCCATCCCACATCGGATGGGCAAGAGAAGAGAGGCTAAAGAAGCCTCAGGCTTCTTACTGATTAGTTTAATATTTTTTTTTTCCCCAAACGCTGCTCCTAACAGCGTTTGGGATTTCAGCGGTTTGGAGCAAACCGTTGCTCCAAACCGCTGATAACCAAACATGGTTTTTCGTCAAAACGCCAAAATGGTGGATCCGTCAAAAATGTGACGAATCCGCGACATCAATTGGGATGATCTATATGTACTGAATATTTTCCTTTTTTACGTAGCTCTCAAGTGTGGATGCATATATACAGGTTTGAACATATTATATATATATATATATATATATATATATATATATAGTCTTTGAATTGAACGTTCCGTTACGTGCACCAAACCTAGAAGCTTATGAAATAGTACGTGTCCACATACATATATGGACCACGTGCATATATGCATGCATAAATGAAATTAAATAGCACAGGAATAATGCATGCATGTGATGATTTGTCAATGTAATGTTACCGCAAATCAAAGCAATCGACATATTCAGCCCAGACCACTGACCACACCACTCGTTTTCCATTCATTCATTGATTTCAATTCGTTAACAATGAGATGGATTTCTGTCTTACCACTTGGAAGTCAGGGAATTGAATTTGTTTGAAAATTAAAATATTTTTGTGAATATTCTTCTTCACTCGACCGCCAAGAACTCATTTCATATTTTCAAGTCGTTTGACTATCAAAGAAGCTTCCTCAATTCTTATGTATTTTAGTGGAAAAAGAAAATACATTTTTGGGCCCAAATATTTAGTCTTGTTAAACTGACACGAGAAGCGTTATAAGTGGAAATAATAATAATAATAATAATAATAATAATAATAATAATCTAATCTAAATCTAAAAATTAATAAGTATGAATGAAAATTATACTCTTTATTTTTCGTTACTTTTTTATACATTATGTTATAAGAGTTTGTATTATACAATATTTTTGGTAAAAAATATCCCTACGTACCGGTATAACTTTCTTTATCTTTTTTCAACTATTATTGTCATGTACATGTATCCACTATATATTTGTCTTATCTTCTTCAATAATCAATAATCAATAATATATATATATATATATATATATATATATATATATATATATATATCTTCTATTATAATATAGCAGAAACTATAGTTCCCGCCAAAAGTAATAAAAAAATAAAAAATAAATAAAATAATATATATTGAATTGAATATATTGAATTAACAAATGCAATGTCGTGTCTATTCAGAATCCAAGTCTGTTATAAAATAATAATAATAATAAAATTGAATATATTGGATTAACAAATGCAATGCCGCGTCTATTTAGAATCCAAGTCAGTTCAGAATTCAAATCAATTCAAGTCTGTTCAATGAAGAATTAAACAAATACATTAAAGAATTAAATACATTGTTGATACAAAATTAAATTCTTCAATGCCTTTTTCAAAAAAAATTCTTCAATGCCTATGTCTGTTCAGACTCCACGTCTGTTCAGAATTCATCAAATCAAATCAAATACATACATACATAAAAATAAGGATACAACTTTTGGGATTACTAACGTAAATATGGAACAATTTGATTCCTTAACAATTCTATAAATAGTGAATTACAGGCCTATGCATTCAACCACACGTTGCTGAACAACAAGTAATATCTCTCATCTCTCATACAGTATGTATCCAATGTATGTTCTTGGAAGTGATATCTCACCCTTCAATGTTACGAGTGCAATGAAGGTTCGCGTTATTCGTGCATACAATGTATCGGAGAGGACAGGAAGCAATGCAATCAGATGCAAGGAAATTGTGTTTCATGATTCTGAGGTGATAACAGATGCAAGGAAATCAATGCAATCTCATATTGAATATAACACTGTTTAATTTCAATATTTATATATATATATATATATATATATATATATATATATATATATATATATATATATATATATGCAGGGAACATTGGTACATGCCCACATCCCAAAACAATTGGTTCCAAAATTCATTAACAATTTTAAGGAAGGTTCAGTTTGGGCTGTTAAGAATTTCTTGGTCATCAACAACTTCTACACGTACAGGACAACCCCTCACAAGTACATGATCAAGTTCAATTACCAGACTATAGCTAAGCAATTCAAAAGAATTGAGTTTCCAAGTCAGATGTTCCGTCTCACACCATTTGAGGCTCTAAAAGTTGAAGGTGTTAATGATAAGCTGTTGGTTGGTACGTATATTATGTTGAAATTACCTTTTTTTAAAAAAAAAAATTATTTTTATTTTCCTGTGTGTTAAATTTTGTTTTAAATTTCATTACAGATGTAATTGGAAAAGTGGCTGAAATATACTCACCTCAAGAAAAAATGATTTTTGGGAGAACAACTCGGCTTATAGACTTTATCATTGAGGATTTAAGGTAATTATTTAATATATATATATTTAAATCTGTATTATATATCAACTCAGGAAAAAAATGATTTCCTGGAGAACAACTTGGCTTATAGCCTTTATCATTGAGGATTTAAGGTAATTATTTAATATATATTTAAATTAAGAAAGTCAAGTTGCTAATGAGATAATGTTAAGGGAAAAGGGAGACCAAATCTTAGTCTGGTCATGATTGGTTGGATCAATCACCATGCCTGGTGGAAAATTAAGGCATCAATTTATTATAGGTTTATCACCACTAAAAATCATTTCATGATAATATTATATCAACTTGAAAAGAAGTAGGATGTGCAATGGTGAAAGAGTAACGGAACCAGTGATCTCAACAGTTAAACAAAGGCACTCAAATGGAGACTTACAGTAAGAGGATTGCCCAAAGGGTTCCCAGTCTGTGGATCCCAGCATATAAGCTCCCCAATTTTACTTATCAATTATTAAATCTATATCTATATATAAAGTTGGGTACTTATTTATTTTTTGGTATTAAAAGTTTGAGAAATCTAATTTCCCTCAACTTTTACAGTGGAAATCAGATTAGGTGTACTCTATGGGATGATCATGTTGGTAAGATTGAGCCATTTTTTAATGCAAGTAGTCATGAACCAATGGTGGTGATCTTGCAGTTCTGTCGAATTAGGAGAGATGCCACGAGTAAGTACATATATACTTATATATACACTATTCTGTGTAAAATATGTGTAACATTTGTTAAATGTCTAGATGGCGAGGTGAGGCTTTGCAGCTCATATGATGTGACACAAGTCCTTATTAACCAGCAATCTAAAGAGTTTTTGGAGTTTAGGGAGAGGTAAAAGTAATTTATTTTTAAGTATTGTACTATTTTTTTTAAAAAAATTGTTTCTTATGACTTTACTATTTTTAGTTTAATTCTTCGTGGTGTGCAAACACCCATGAGGAGCATTGAATCCTTTCCAATGATGGAGCAGACCCAATGTAATGCTCAAGATATGAAAACTATCAGTGAAATTTACCAAACCAGAGAGGTAATTGGTTTGTGTTGTATAATAATAAAAATCTACTGTATTAGGTTTTAAAATATATAAAAACCTAATACAGTAGAGCCACAAATGGTGTGAGATTATAGCAACTATCCATGCAGTACTTATATGCATTTTACAACTTTTTATGCTATAGTATGGGGACTACTGGGTTGCAGCTAGGATAGTTGCTATAGAGGATTCTGTCAATTGGTATTACAGTTCATGTAGAGCTTCTGGCTGTAACAAGAAGCTTGAGTCAAAAGGTGGGCTATATTACTGTACAAAGTGTGAAAAGAGCTGTCGAGAAGGTAATTTGAGATACAGGTTGAAGATCAGAGTTGCAGATCTAGAAGGAAATGCACCTTTTCTCCTTTGGGACAGAGAGTGCAATCAGCTATTGGGAATTTCTGTTGCAGAGTTGAAGTCAAGGCATTCAAATGTATATTTTTATAACATTTTAGTTCTGGGAATATATATAAATGTATTTTACAGTACGTGTTGTTGTGTTGTTGATTCTTAACGGGAGATTTATTTTTTATTGTTAGGCAACTCAACTGATCCCATCAGAATTACAATCCTTGGTTAAACAGTGCATGCTATTTAGGGTGGTCGTTAGGAAAGAACAATTTGAGAATCTCGACAACGTATTTTCTGTCATGAGGATAAACACTGACCAAAGATTGATTCAAGTGCATGCACCAGAGCTTCTGCGCATTCCTGACAAGTATTTGAGCTCCAAAGTTGACCAAATGGTGGAGGATGATGATTTTGAGGAGGTACACTTTATGTTATTTTATTGTAACGATTATTATGTGCAAATAATAAGTTTGATTTTTTTTTTAATTAGGAATTTGTTGAGGTTGATGAAGGGGAAAATCTTCTTGGGGTTGGTGTTGCTTGCAATCAAGATGATGTGGGTGATAGTTCAGTTGTAAAGAGGCGCCTTCTAGACAAGTCTTCATCAACCCAGACATCAAAGAACAAAGGGATTAAGGAGGAAAGTGATTGAATATAAATTGCTTTGCTGAGGTTTCTGATGCATGTGGACCAGGATGCCTGTTGGCATTTTATCTTTTTTTTTTTTTTTGGTTATTGGGTTACAAAGACAGTATGATGCCTTCTGGCATTTCTTTTCTTTTTTAATTTTGGTTACATCTGCTACTAGGGTCTTTGGTGGCTCAAGGACAAAAAATGGTACATGGATCTTTTAATAAATTGTGCCTGACTCAAGGATCGTTTTGCTTATTTACCGTGGTTTGAAAAATTTACTGTTTTAAAATATTTGTGAATTGTGAATTTGTGAATATTAGGTTTGATTATCAAGTTTTTCAATCACCTCCTCTTCCAAGTAGGTGGTTGCATTGTAATCAAATTGTTTGGATTGTTGAATATTTTTTTGCAGTGAGTTCAAGTATTCCTAAACATATATAGCAGATGTGGTGATTAGCTGATGTGATGATTTGGTGATTAGAGTCCATGGTGAAGAAATTCCTGTGGATCTATAATAGTCCATTGTTTTTACATCGAGTGAGAAGCAGAAATATTTATAGATCTATAATAGATGTTTATAGAGAGTCAATTATTTTTTTTTCTTCGGATGTATAAATGTGTAGATTATTATAGTTTTGAGTTATACAATATAGCAAATGTGGTGATTAGCTGATGTGATGATTTGGTGATTAGAGTCCATGGTGAAGAAATTCCTGTGGATCTATAATAGTCCATTGTTTTTACATCGAGTGAGAAGCAGAAATATTTATAGATCTATAATAGATGTTTATAGAGAGTCCATTATTTTTTTTTCTTCGGATGTATAAATGTGTAGATTATTATAGTTTTGAGTTATACAATATTGTAAAGTATTGAAAATAAGTACTTTTGAATGTATAGATGTATAGATTATTATATTTTTGAGTTATACAATATTGTAAAGTATTGAAAATAAGTACTTTTGATAATTCTCATGATTGAAAATCTCAAATTAGTGCAACAATATCCTCAAATGATGTACTCAAAATATTACAATTAGCTTTTGTAAAAAAAATTTACAGTCTAAAACTTAGTAATAAAAGACAACAATATAAAGTTAACTAATGCTGTGAAAAAAAATAATGTGCAACAATGTGAGTAAGAGGCCGAGAAATGGGAATTTCTAATTGACATATATGTTAATGAGCAATTGAGCATAGAGTGTATGTATAGTGTATAATGAGCTTACAGGAGAGTGGTATTTCCTTCCAAGCCTCGCATGCCCTTTGCCGTAGTTTCTCGAGAGGGTAAACACCAGCCACGCAGAAATTAGCGGGATCCTCATGCCGCATTGTGTACTCCTTTAGGTATATCGGCTTGGCATAGTTTCTCGAGAGGGTAGACGTCATCCATACAAAAATTAGCGGGATAAATTATCAAAATATCTCAAAACTAATATTAAGAATTCTATGACAAACTAAGACAAGCAGCAAACTACTATGTTGTCTGAATGGAGTAGTTTTAACAGAGCTGACATTGTAAGAGAATTGTGCAAACTTACTTAATGGTTGGGGGAGAGTTAAGTGTTTGCATAGACCGTCAATCCCAGCATCAATGATGGAAGCCAGACCGAGGTATGGGTTTGCACATCCGTCAAACACCTTAACCTCAAAGTCGTTAAAGCCATTCGGAACTCTAGGTGAACTGGCTGTTCTTAGATGATGAGTGCACTACACCATGCTTTCTGAACAAGACACCAAAAGACAAACAGACGAAGATTTCGTCTCAGAACTGAAATAATAAATATTTTTCCTTTAATATCACTAAGATGAACAGATGTTATGCTCAGGTTATCAACAGAAGTACACAAATATAGAGGATTAAGCAAAACCATCTCAGAAAAATGAGCTTTACTCTGTAATTTTAGGAAACACCGAAACACAAAACCTCACTCCTCAAAGCCCCTACCCTCCTTCCCGACTCTAACTCCCCATACATGCTCAGCACAGATAAGCAGGTTGTCAATTGAGCATCACATCACTCAATAATGGACAAGAACGCTGGAACCATCTGGACATGGGCATAAAGCCATAAATACAATGGAAGTTTACACTCACCAATACCCACAAATTTAGGCCCAAGTTACACACAGATGTGGGGTTTATTTTCATAGTATGGGAGATAGCTGCCAACATGATTGTCCTAAAGACAGTAACCTCAAAACGACATTGAGATCATCTTAAGTGAAATACTAAAAGCTTCTTCATTTAGCACTTTATTAAGAGAGTTATTAAATATAAGGGCCTAAGGGGAAGCAAAATGCTGAGCAACAATATTAAACGGTAATAATAAAATTCAACATTCACTTTCTAAATTCATAACATTCACGGTAATGGTTGACATCAACTCACTATGTATGCACAAAAACTGGAGTACCCATATACTCTTCCACCCTTCTCCATTTTTATCTTTGTTTTCCTTTTCAGAAGGAAAACTGGAACATTGAAAAAATTAAAGAGAGCAAATAGAGATGATGGGTTAGGTATGCCATGGTTTAGGAAGTCTACCTGCAATCGAATGTGAGGCCAGTCTCATTTTCCTTCCAAGGCTCCCTCCCCTGCCATATAATCTCGGCTGTGGACTGCATCAAATGCAACCGTTAATAAGGACTAATAAGCCACAAACTGTTCTCGGGCAGCAGAAAAAACTAAACAAATGTTCTAAAACCTTTGCACGCGAGATTAGACTTGCAAAACATTGGTCATAAAATAATATTTTAGAATTTTTACTAAAATATATTATTTTCACGGTCAAAAAATACTAATTTTATTTTCGACATTTAACACTGCAAAATATGAATAGGCAACACAATTAATAATCAAATTGGTATTTAGAATCCAACTATTAGTATTCCACTAACTGAACAGCTGCTATAAATCTAAGCTATCACTACTTTAAAGCTATTTAGTGAGAAATGAAGAAACTTACAGGTTCTGTTTGTATAGGATCCAAGCGAAGGACTGCTGAGAACCACAGAGGTCAGTCTAACATTCATCTCTTCTTAAAGCATTATAAGTGGTGTAATAAAAGTACGAAAGCTATGCGGAGTACATTCATCCCTATCTCATCAAATCATCCCAATCCTCTCTCTCTCTCTGTGTTACCCGCCTCAGTTGCGATCTGACCATTTCCCATACTTTTCATGCTGATCTGACTATTTCCGCATTGAACAACCCGAACCCGTGGATGTTTCGTCATTCAGTGATCTCAGTCTCACCCTGGACCTCCCCTCTAACCGAACCAGTGGATTCATACTTCATAGTGAAATCTCAGAATATTTTAGGATCTATGAACTTGAGATGTGAAAAAATACATAGATCCACAACCTTGAGCTTTCCAAAAAAACATATCCAAGTAGGAGAAGTAGAAGCATCTTCTTCGTTTTGAAAAGTGTAGAGAGAGACAGAAATGGTGAAATGAGAAGCTTCCCGAGAGACATATCTATTGACTATCATTTTCTTTATTACTCCGTATTATTATTATTATTATTATTATTATTATTATTATTATTATTATTATTATTATTATTATTATTATTATTATTGGCGTGGGGATTATTGTTAACATTTTTTTTATTTAATGTATTATTTACTTTATAAAAACTATAATTACCATTTTTTACATTGTATAAATAATATTAGTCAATTATAATATTACAAAACGAATGGATAGAATTTTAATAATATTTCTTTTGTTCATCTATTTATATTTCTGGGGGTAATATTTTTTGGTCTTTGGGTCAATAAATTACATTAAATAAATCACAGTAATACTTTATTTAAAAAACATTCGAACCAATCTTTTTTATACATTTATTTTTCTATTTAGTTATAGTTAGTAAGTTAGTATTATTATTAGAACATAACAATATTTATAGAATATTATTTTCTTTTATATTTTATAGTATTTAATTATTTAATTATTATTACGGTATAAAATAAAAATTATAATTTCCATTTGTAGTCAATTTCCTTTGCACTTATCTGTAGATAACATTTTTTTTTTTGAAAGTCTGTAGATAACATTAAATATATTGTTATATATATATATATATATATATATATATTTATTTATTTATTTATTGTTTATTTTCTCAGAGAATGAAATTGTGTCAAGTTCTAAGATAAGTAAAGCTTCAACCAGTGGAGGTCTATGTGATATTACAACACGAAATCATATCTACGGTGTATTTCAAGCATCACTCTCTACCCCGTTGCGTATAGTTTCTCACGGTTAGACTTAAAGTCTTTTTTTTTTTTTTTTTTGTATGTTATTTTTTGTAATGTGAATTATTAATTTTTTTAATGTCATCATTTGTAGAACGCACATTAATTAGTTCATCAATCCACGACATACATCATGCGTCAGACAATGGACCATCTACACGTACGAATATTCAAAATCAAAATTTGATATATATAAAAAAAAAAACAATGAAAGTATATATTCTGTTCAAATTTACTTATTATTATTATAACATCTAATAAGATGTTAATTCTATTAGGATGTGGGAATGGTACAATAAATGATGTGCAAATGCATTTGGAGTCAAATTGTGATTCAGCTCTCTCGACTCAAAACAACTATCCCAACCTAAGTGTAGAAATGGATGAAGTGCTTGGTCATCAAACAAACACATCAAACATACAAGATGGTTAGTTTATAAGAATTTGATTGTATAAAGTAAATATTGCCTCACAAATTCTTAATATTCTATACTACAATTTCAGTTGAATCTGTAGACCTTGGTGACCCGGACGACATATGTGAGCATTGTGGTGGTTTTTTTTGGTACGAGGAAAGACTCTACAAGTCAAAAACAAAAAACACAGTTAAATACTCAGGATGTTGTGTGAACGGGAAAATCAAACTGCCTAGAAACACACTACCTCCAAAGAAGTTATATGATCTTTTTTTTACATTGAGTGAAAAGCAGAAATATTTTCTTCAAAATATAAGATCGTATAATAATATGTTCTG